ATAAATATAAGGATATCAAATAATATAGGTTATGGCCTTAGGTGGGTCACTGTATCTCAAGTACATTTTCAATCAACAACAATATTCCATAGAAACAAAAATANTATGGCCTTAGGTGGGTCACTGTATCTCAAGTACATTTTCAATCAACAACAATATTCCATAGAAACAAAAATATAAATAATCAGAGAAAATGGGAAAGTAAAGGGAGAAGTGATGTCATGAGGGCCTCAAATCCGCGAAACGCATGGGTTATGGTTAGTTGGCATGTTACCGCCCAGACGATGTTTAGGCAAAGTAGCGTACTCCAACCCCTGGGACGTTACCATGCCACCATAACCACACACGGGGAAATGAGTCTCATTACGGGAGAGGGAAGTGTGGGGAGTCAAAGTTAAAACTGAGATAACAAGGAGTATTAATGCACCATGATAAAGTTCTAATAATATTTAAACATGGTCATGTAAAATAAAAAAAAATATATAAGAATGGAGATTTAATAGGGAGAATGAAGAAAGAGAGATATTTTAAATAAGAATAATGGCTAATAATGGCTAAGCAAAAGGTAAAATATAGAGAAGTTTTTCAATATTGAAAATAAGGATTAGGGGAAGTGGGCATACTAGTATCACTCACCACCAATTATTGGTGATGGCAGACAAGTTACTATATTGAAAATAGATTAAGTTTTCACAATGTTACTCCACTACTGTTGTTGAAAAGGGGGACATGATCAAGAACACAATGTCATACATAAAAAGAGGAAGGGAGAAGAAAGTTAACCCATAAAAATGAAAGAAAATTAAGTAAAATATTAGAGATCACTTTAAATTCAACTTGTATGTGCATAGATAGAGCAAGTAAATAAACAAAACAATTATAAAGTAAAGGTTACTTGGGCATCATTAATGATAGTACCAAACAAAAGACATGCCAACTAATCCAACAACCATACACCAATCCATCAAACACTGTACCGTACAACATATGCTAAAAAAATTTATGGGATTAACAAACATAATATAATGGGGGAAAACAAAATTAAAAATGGTGGATATTACCTGTATAGGTATTACAACAGTAGGGTTTGCACAAGGAAATAAAGGAGTAGGGAGTCAAAGGTATATATTTCATTTTTTTTTTTT